GGAAATTAGATGGTGCAACCTGGAATACTCCCTTTTGGAAGAATGCATATGGAAAGTGGTAAATCACAGTCTCCCCAGACTAAAACTTATTCTCTGACTGTACGTTGCTTTCCTGAAGAAAGTTGATGCCCTCAAAGTCCACATTAACTCGTTCCTCATTGTGGTAGCATTTTGGGAGCCTAGTGTTAAAGAGCTTCCCTTGGTATACGTGAATGGGACCGATCAAGGTTTACCATGTTTAAAAAGAGAAGATTTGGATTGTTACTGTTAGAAAACAGTATCAGAATTTACGAATTATGTGTATAATTTGTTAATTTAATTTTGGTACCTTACTCATGAACTTGAGTTGTAGATCTTAATCCTAAAATAATATTTAGTATTAACCTGTCAAATATTTAGAACCTATCTAACATTTTAAGCATACCTTTGAGCTTCTGTCAATAACTACCACAGGCAAAACCTCAGTGATCAAAGTAACCTCTAGAGTTAATTATTTAAGTGAATGTATCAACCAGTACTTGGAGGTAAAGTATTTGATTAAATCAGCTTTCTTGATGTACCTCATGGGTAAGAAATTAATGAATAAATGACTGGTCTTTAGAACATATGTTCTACTTCTTCATGTTTCTTAAGACATAGGACCAGTTTTAATTTTTTTTAATGGTTTTTTTTTTTAACTAATCACAATTAATGAACTTTATTTGGATTTCAATTAAACAAATGAACTGTTGAAAAAATTTAAATAATTGGGATAATGTGAAAACTTGCTTGGGTTATTGATAATAATGAAGAATTATTATTACATTTATTGATGGGGACCAGTTTTTAATAATTTAGAAAAAAGAAATAGATTTTATTAACTTATATACCAAGAGGACAAGATTTTATATAATATACAAACAACATGTTAAATTTCCTGGGAAGAAAACATTGTTAAAATTCATATTACTATGTTATGACTCAATAAATTAATAAACTTGATGTGGAAGCTTTCTAATCTTTACTTATAAGGATTTTAAATTAATTTTATATTTTAATGTTTTTTTTCTTGATTATTTTACATTAGGATCCTAGATTATTATTGTGTGGAGATAATATGGATATTGCCTAGGAAGTAATCTTTATTTTGTCCACTCTGTTTTTTCTTTGTGCTAGAGGCTTAGAAATGCTGAAAATGTGATATGAGTAGTAAACTTTGGCACAAAAGTCCCATTGTTTGCATTTACTTGTCCAAAGTTCACATCACACAGCAGGGCCACATTCCTCAGCACCAGTCTGTGATTGAGATTGAGGTGTGTTCAGCACTTCCATTGGAAGGATGACAGTATCTTGGGGTAATGGAAGCAACTCTGGAGGGAATCTCAATGCCTGGGTTCTAACTAGAGCTCTTTCAATCTCAAATTATTAAACCAGGATTTTGTTTTTGGTTTTTCTTTTTTTATTGGAGAGAGAGAGAGAGAGAGAGAGAGAGAGAGAGAGAGAGAGAGAGAGAGAGAGAGAGAAAGATGTATCCCGACTGGGGATCAAACCCACAACCGGGGTATTTGCCCTGTCTGGGATCAAACCTACCACCTCCTTTGTACAGAACAGTGTGCCAACCAACTGAGCCACACTGGCCAGGGCAAGCCAGGGTTTCTTTCTGATGGAGAACGCTGAACATGGTCGGCTACTCTACTTCCTTTCCTGTAAGCCCCAGCTGACTGCCTGGACAGGGTTGGTCTTTCTCTCATTTGTGCCTGCTTGCATGGTGAGTGCCACAACCTTTGTGCAGTTAGCGTGCTTACCACACTGCCTTCTTGTCAGGTGCCCTCTCGGTGATGAGCTGCAGAGAGCAAGGGCCTGTGTCCTTTCTGTCTAGTCATGTGTCTCCGCACCTCTGTGGCCCTGGGCTCATCGGAGGACTTGATAGGTGCTGGAATGGATGACTGGGTAAACGAGGGAAGTATAGAATCTGCATTGTGTCAGTAAGGAGGACTAGGAGATTGCTTCCCTTTGTTCTTGCCCTAGATACTAATGAATACTTTATTTTTATTCTGAATGCATTAGCAATAGCAAGGCTGAAAGACACTTAAGGCACCATATTTTGCTTTAAGAGATACAGTGATGTATCTACTGTATGTTATACAAATGATTACACATTGTTATTTTGGTTCGGATTGTTCTTTTTGAAACATAATTCACATTATGATATTTATTTGTTGAGTGCATAAAAGCATTATAATATCTACTATGGGATAGACAAAATGAATGAGGTATAGATGATGTTCCAAAGGGGCCAACAGATGATTAATACATATTTTGTGGATGGTAATGTTGGGTATTAATTATTAATATTATTGTTCTTGGCAGAGTTGTTACAAGCAAAGTGTCTGGGGATTTTACATTGGGAATCAGGGAAATTTAACAATTTTAGCATATATTCTGGGCATTTATATTCAGATCCAGCAAGCCTCTGTCTTCTAGGTCTGCTTTCTGCAAACTCTTCTCCAGTTTTTTCACACCCAGTGTTAATTAAGTCAAAAAGTAAACTAGATGTTTGGGGCACTGAGAATGGACAGGCCAAAGGATAGGATATGCTTATGTGTCTTTAATCTTGTTTCTCCCTGGAAACAGAAAGAGTTTGAAGGTGGTACTTTGGAGAATAACTGCTTATGAAATACAAGCTAGGTTATTTGATCCCTTTTCCTGCCCTTTCATGTTGGTATTAAAGTGTAGGAGAACTCTGAGTAATATGCCATCATTGAATAGCTTGGCAGAAAATTGAGTCTGAACAACCATTGAATTGCTTTACTAAAATTTATTTAACCATTTTCTTATCACTGAACACATTTTTTTTGCAGAGCTTTTCTTTTGCTATTGTAAACACTAGGATTTATATTCTTATAGATACATTTGGCACGCAACCAAATTTTAGAAGTAGACTTACAGGTCAAGAGTGTATATATTTTTAAGGCTTTTGATATTTAGTCGCAAATTGCTCTAGAGCAGAGATGTCCAGTAGAAATTTCTGTGATGCGGGAACATCCTATGTCTGTACTGTCCAATATCTTAGGCCAATTTTGATGTAAACTTAAATAGCCAAATGTGACTAGTGGTTATAGTATTGAGTAGTATCTAAAATATTTAAACCAAATTACTTTTCCACTAGTGGTATATGTGTGTGTCTATTCCCTGTTTGCTTGTCAACATCAATATTTTTAAATTAAAATCTTTACAATTATATAGGTTAGAAAGCTTGATTTGTGTTATTTTATATTACTACTATTCGTTGCTAGACAGGTTGAGTACCTGTAGGCATTAATTTTTTTTCAATGGATTACATATGTCTGTTAAGAAGTTCATTTTTTCATTTCTTTTTTTGGTATTAATATCAGTAATTATCTTACCGATATATTTCCCAACTGATTTATTTTTATATTTAAATTATTGTAAAGTACATACATACTTTTAATACATAGGACAAACATTTTATTTTATTTTTATTTTATTTTATTTTTTTAAATATATTTTTATTGATTTTGTACAGAGAGGAATGGAGAGAGATAGAGAGTTAGAAACATCGATGAGAGAGTCATTGATCAGTTGCCTCTTGCACACCCCCTACTGGGGATATGCCCACAACCAAGGTACATGCCCCTGACTGGAATCGAATCCAGGACTCTTCAGTCCCCAAGCTGACGCTCTATCCATTGAGCCAAACCGGTTTCGGCAATAGGACAAACGTTTTAAAGAAATTTTAGTTTCATTAAAATAGCTTAAGAAGGTTCATGAATAAAGAATGAGAAGGAGACCTAACTGGTTTGGCTCAGTGGATAGAGCGTTGGCCTGTGGACTGAAAGGTCCCAGGTTCGATTCTGGTCAGGGCTATGTGCCTTGGTTGTGGGCACATCTCGGTAGAAGGTGTGCAGGAAGCAGCTGATTGGTTTCTCTCTCATCGATGTTTCTAGCTCTCTGTTCCTTTCCCCTTCTCTCTGTAAAAAAAAAAAAAAAAAAATTAAAAAAAAATATATATATGAATGAGAAGGAAAAGAGACGAAGAGAGCCCTTGGGAAAGGACCAAGAATGTCTGGACTGTGGTGAGAGAGGAAAGAATACCAATGAAAGAGAGAGAGGTGTCCCCAGATGCAGAGAGGAGGAAGGAAGGAAACAAGAAAGTAAGGGATTGCCTCTTTGGATGCAGGGAGGAAGAAAGTAGTGTAGCGCTGAATGTTCACTTAGACGTTGGAAGAGTAAGATTCTCTTTTGAAATACTAGCTTGATGAACCAGAACATTCCAATACTCTTTCTCTTTCAATCATCAGAAGCTGTCTCTCACGGTCTGTGCATCCTAGCTGTAGCAGCCACAGTGCAGTATCCCTTTCTGTAGGAAGGACTTAGGTGGGGTGTATTTTTTTAAAAAAAAAAGACATTTCAAAATGGGGCATCTAGGAGAGAAGCAGTATGGTTAGTAATTAAACCAGAGGACCAGAATGTAAGTCCTGTCTTTTATTACAATTATTAAATAAATAAACCATTTGCTGAATAATCCTGGACAGTTCTTTTAACTTCTCTGAGTCTTGGTTTCCTTTTCTGAAAATGGCAATGGAACTGCCTACCCCTCATATGAATGTGAAGACTCAGTGGGATGTAACACGTGGTAAAACACTTTGGGCAATTCAGTGCAAGGACTTACCTGAAGGTGTAAAGCTTAAATTGGATATTTTGGTGGTGGTGGTGGTGGTGGTGGTAACTGGGGCTTATGCTGCAGAATGCAGAGGACATTTGTTTAAAGGAGTAATGTTGGCCATTGCAGCTCTGGGAAGAGACCAGTCTGATAGAACATAGCTCTTTAACACTTTCTTACAAACAGCCTATAGTTGCCAGAATTCAACAACAAAATTCAAGTGCACTAAACAGTTCTTTTTTGAAATATCTTATTTTTGTTTCTGTGCTTGATCACAATTAAGGTCTATTCATGGATTTTACCAACCTTGTTTTATGTCTTTTTCCCCCCTTTGCAGATGAACGGGACAAAGTACAAAAGAAAACGTTTACAAAATGGATAAATCAGCATCTCATGAAGGTCAGTTTCTGTTTCTTTCACGTCGTGGAATTGTTTTGCATGCTTTACTGTGCAGTAACTGATTGGATAGCCCCGAATCACAGCCTAACAGTTTAGATTCTAGAGCAGGTCACATGCATTCAGGCATCTGTAATTGTTCGGTGTGGGGCCTGTGGGTGATGATGGAGGTGTACCCAGTGATCACAGTGCATTCTGTGGCATTAGGTTAATCTATTAATGGACTCTAAGAAAATCTCAGATGCTTAAGAAATACGTCAATATTTATATGTTAGGGCATGGGAAAGCTACAATTCTCAGTAAGATTTCTCCCCCTCTCCACCAAGATTCAAACCACGTGGTGGCATCAGATTTATGTGGATGCCAGAGAGTTCTATGAGAATGAAGGTGTACTGTAGAGACAGAAGTCCAGACTCATTTTATATCTTGTACTTAATATGACCCAGAATTTGGTACTTGGGTACATACGTCTCTCTGTCTGTGAAGCAGTTCATAATTTCAGTTCTTAAAATAATATTCATTTGTGTGCCGTGGCTCATATAATATAAGCTCTCCAGAAAAATACACAAAATTTGCGTACAATTTCATGGAGCTCTTGGATCCCACTGCAGCACTTCTGTGAGTCTCAGCTGAAGAATGCAGAGGACTTCACAGTTCCCTATTAGTCACTTTCTCCCCCCTTTTGCAGACAGTCGCAAATTGGAAATAGGCAATGTTTTAAGTCTGCTGTTTGGGACTTGGAAAGAGTTTTCTCACCTAGAAACATTATTTAAAATGTGCTTATAGCCAAAACCAGTTTGGCTCAGTGGATAGAGCGTCGGCCTGCGGACTGGAAGGTCCCAGATTCAATTCTGGTCAAGGGCATATACCTTGGTTGCGGGCACATGCGCAGTAGGGGGGGTGCAGGAGGCAGCTGATCGATGATTCTCTCTCATCGATGTTTCTAACTCTGTCCCTCTCTCTTCCTCTCTGGAAAAAAAAAAATCAATAAAATATATGTTAAAATTTTTTAAAAATGTGCTTATATTCTTAAGTGATTCTACAAGTCCCACTGGAACCATCTTGTCGTACAGGAGTGGTCCCAATAATGTGAAAGCAGCTGATGACCTATAAAAGCGGTTCTCATTCCAGGGGGCAGATGAGAATTCCCTGCGAGGTGTTCTAGGTGTCCCCCTCTCCCCACCCTTTGACAAAAACCCTTTGCCAATATTTCGATACGTCCTTCGAGAGGCCAAGTCACCCCTCCCTCATGAAGAATCACTTCTGCAGGGCGCAGAATCCTCTGGCGTGTTGGCAAGAGATAAAAGGTTAAGATCCTCAGCTTTTGTAAGGAAATACACTGCAAGTGCTAATGAGGGCTGCCAGCTGATTACCTCCTCTCTCTCAGGCTTTGTCTCATCTTACATGTACCACACACTTGATATGAGTGGGGCTTTTCCATAGAGGAGGGCAGATGTGAGCGTGGGGATGGATGGGACCTTTGGAGCTGAAGGCTCTGACAGGATTTTTCCATTTCTGAGGTGCACCTACGGGAAGCAGGGCTGTAGATGAAGGGGTGCCCCTTTGGTGGCTGGTATCTGGGGGTGAGGGTGTCACAGAGGGTTGCCCATGCCATCTGGGGCATAATTGTTAGGGTTCCAGGTTGTGACTTGAACTGTACGGTGGATTTGTGGGGACTAGAGAGAACTAGAAGCACACATGAGGATGACTCCCACGGGAACCGCAGTGCTGGCATTTTGTAGTTACCTATTGGGGGTCTGCTAAGTGCCAGGCATGTGGAACTAGACCAGCCTTATGGGTATTTCATGAATTGGATGCCTGGGCATAAGGAGACTGCCTTTGCTGTAAATGTCAGAACAGCAGTTGAGCTGTTTGTGCACAAAAGCTGTGCTGCTCCCCCCATCACAGGGCTGGCAAGCGTATTCCTACCGGGAACCATTTAGTCATTCGGACAACCCTCCGAGGTGTTTAATTTTGTAGTGACACAGCCTTCAGACTCAGGCCGCAAGGTCCTGAACGTCTGGCAGCTTTGGGCCCCCAGTTGTCATTTTATTTAGATTCACTCTTGGAGGGCATCTTCCAAATCCTCCTGTTCACGGCCCCTGTGTAATAGCAGGGGACCCTCGCCACAGCTGCTCACTGGCAGAGCTGCCCCAGTGGTCAGGACAGGAGAGGGAGCATGGGTTGGGGGCAGGGACTGCGCCGTGTTTGATTTCTCTGTGACTGTGGGAGCTTGTGTTGACTTTTCTTTGCCTCAGAGTTTCAACTCTTCCCTTGTTAAATCACCATGACTTAGGAAATTATGATTTTTGCAGCTGTAAATAGCACACATCCAGTGCTTGGGGCAGATTCTGGCAAGGTGGATTTTAAAGGATTATATGACTGAGAAAAGTAAATATTGTGGGGTTTTAAATGATTGCTTAAGTTACTATTATGTCCATATGGGTAAACGTTCATTCCTTAAAATATACACTGTACTGGTTAGGGTTTTTTTTTTTAATAGAGATTTTCTCCAGAAAAAAATGAATGTAGCCTTATTTTCAGATTTATCAGAGCTAAAATTAAATTCGTTTAAACCCAACAGATTGCTTAATTAAAACTTAGGGTTGTTGGTGAGCTGAAGTCTTTGGCTTTTTTTTTTTTTTTTAAGGTATTTAAATTTGAATGTTCTGGTATTTCAGTTGTATGACTAAGCCTGTCCTTAAACTGGTTGTTCTGACAAGAATGCTTTCCTTTTGATTCATCATTCAGCAGAGTCCTTTTAATAATAAAGCCCAGTTAATGCATTCAAGTCTGCTGCCTACACAAGTTTCTTCACACACTGAGTAGATCAATTGTTTACCTTGCAAGTTATGGTTGCTAGGTAAATCACTGGTGTCAGTAACATTATGTATAATTCTTTAGCATAATTTTAATTTTTGTACTGAAACATGAGCTGGTTGTTTTTAAAAATTCCTGTGACTTTGATAAGCTAAATTTTACCCAGAGAAATATTCTAAAATGTAACATTGATAACATTATTTTATTATGTACAATATTAGTTTATACCCATTCTACTTTATAAACTAGAGGGTCTTATATATCTAGTTAGTTTTAATTACTGGTCACATGCAATTCTGTCTTGTCTAGAAATTTGTAAGGCAGCAGTATAAGAGATGGCACCTAAGATTTAAATTTAAGTACCTATGATTTAGCTTTAGTGTTGTTCTCAGAAAAAAAAAAAAAAAAGAAGGAAGGAAACCTTTTTTTTTGGAAACACTTTGAAGATCAGAAGATTCCTTTTTAATTGTTTACTTGGACCCAGAATTAAAACTTGAGCCATGACTGAGAGGCTATATGCAAAAGGAATAATTTAAGGTGATAAGTGATTTTTAGGAGATTAGAATCTGAAGAAGTCCATATAATGGTTTTTCCTTATATTAGACCTTCTAACTGGCAATTGATAATGGAAGTTCAATGTGAGAAACTTTCAAGCTTATAGAGAATTTTTGAGATAAGTTGAGCCAAACTGTCAACAATTGCTGGAAAGCAAAATCTCAGCGGGGTGAGATAATGCTCTGGAGAATGGCAGTTTTGCACCTTATTTTATGCATTACAATCAAAGAAGGAGACTAAGTGGGTTACATGTAATCCATTGGTGACAGATTAGGGAGGCAGGAGAAAGCAAAGCGGGGAAACCTCTGGGATTGGATAAAGAGTAAAATGATAGATGCATGCTTCTTTCACACAGGTGGGTACGGAATAGTTAACTGTCAACAATGAACTCAGTGACAGCGAGTTGATTTTGTGGTCTCCGCAGAGCAGTGATTGTGCTTTGAGGGGTCTGGGAAAAGGAAAGCTACTTTGACATTCCAAGATGTGTTATCGTAGATGCAAAAAAGACAAGAGACGCACACTCAGTTTAGGTAAAGGCTGACCTTTGTCAGGGAAGAAATTGGCCTAGGACATGACTACCCACCATAAACTGCTTTCAGTTAAAATTTTTAAATTTCAAACCATCCTTCGTGGTTATGTTAGGTCTCTAAGTTTGCATGACTGCCATGGAGACCTCCCCTGAGCTTGTCAGGTTGAGTATGTGGCCCCTTTTCATCTACAGAAGTGTATTCTTCAGCACTGGTTAGCTGTGTGGTAAATTTATTCCTTAACATTGTGTAATAGGATATTTGGTCTGGATTTTTAAATTTATTTTATTGATACCTAAATGCATTTGGAGAGAAAGAGGTCCTGGGTTCCAATATTGAACCCTGCTTGTTGGTAATCTGCTTGGTTACCACATGGGAAACACCCAACTGACTATCAGATTTTTTTCTCTGATCCATCATATCCTTGGAAAGTTTAATTTACTCCTGGCAGAGATATCCTTTGCCCGCCCGGAGAAATCAATGACTTCATGGCTCCTCCGAACCAGTCACACTCTTCTTTCTTTTTCTGACTTGGTGTCTGGAAGGAAATGTAAATCCCCAGGCTGAGAACACAGTGATAACGTTGCTCTGGCCACCACAGGCAGGCGCCTAGGACCTGGGCTGCTTCGCTCCGGCCCCAGCTTCGTCTTTGCCCAGAGGGACATCTGGAATGACGCGGAAAGGACGTTTGGTCTAGTTAGCATATTACCTTTTTATTATTATAGATTATTATTATAGACTGCTGCCTTTACTGTCACTACCATTTATTGAAGTTAATGAGTTAATCCAGCATGAAGTTGCTAGGATGTGGCAGGGCTACCATTTAATTCTTGGCCCTTCTGGTTCTACAGAAAAACGATGTCACCACCATATCATACCACAATAGAAAGACAAGAAATGATCAAAAAGAAACAAAGACAGAGAAGTATGTGGGGGGAAGAAGCAATATGTTGCTTTACTAGGCCCTAATTTCTTTCAGCATTATTCTGCATATTTTAAGTCTTTTTTCTTTGGGCTCAGACCCATTATGTGGCCATACATTTTTATTTACATTCTTCTCTAATCAATTTACTTTACACAAATTGAGAGATATAGATAAAA